GAGATGGACACTTCCAAGTTAGCGGACCAAGCACGAAGCCATACCTTCATTGAGCTTAATGAAAATAAACACAGCATTTGGGGATTCGTTTGAAATCCCACCAGTTTCCATTCCAGCAGCCTGATAATTTGCACGCGTCTGGAAGAAAATCTCGTTGATTTCAATGAAACTTTCGGGATAATTATGGGGAGGATTGCACAACTATGAAGCATCTAAACTGCTCACCTGAAGGGGGTTGTAGTTTGGGCTGTATTGCCACAGATTCATCGGAGCCGATCCCAAACTAAGGGATTAGGGTTCCTCTCTGAGAAAGAAAATCTGGGAACGGGGTAGGATCCTGAGGTGTGTGTGGAGACCTCCTGCTGCCACAATTAAAAAGGGCTAAATTCTCTCTCGAAGAGGACCCCCCACTGGCTTACCCTGGAGGGGGGCTGTTCCTCCACTTGCCCCCCCCATCCCAGTCTGACTCGGGAAGAACGTCTCCTTCCTTTTCACAAACTTTTTCCCTGCGCGCCCACTTTTAGAAGGGGCCGACGACGCCCTGTTCTACTCAATGTTCTACTGCCACTGTCAGATCGGTGTCCCCAAACCCACCCAGATCGTTGCATACACCAGTCGAGGGCATAAACTATGTGTGGAAAAATCTCTGCACCTAGGACACGTGTGCGGCGCTGAGGGCGGGAGGAGGAGGAGAAGGTCGTAAGCCCATCGGGCGAAAACACACCATCACATAGGTGGCATGTGGCTGAGAGATTAATAGAAAGTGGAATCGCTGTGAAAAACGGTACCCACCCTCCCACCATCACTACCCCGAAAAATGCAAGCAAGGACACGCAAGATCATATATAGTTTTGCTTCCAGGTTTGTTTGTTCTCTGAAAAGACTTCTGAACCCTTAGTTTCTGCTGGCATCTCTCCTTGCAGCGTCGGCTGTGTACAGAACGACTGGGAAGATGCTTAGCGCGTCAGAATCTTTAAAAATGTCTCGATATTTTTTTAAAAAAATATCCCTCCAGACTCTCCAGTGTTATTTTATTTTTAAGGAAAAAGACCCCGAGAAGCAAGAACAATTTTCTCTTTTTCCAAGGCTGTGCCTCGGATTAACCGAATGGCGCATCCTACCCGAAAGGGTTTCTGCTTCAGCTAAACTAGTCGCTTTCACCGGGGCGAAATTGGCAGACCGGGTTAGGCAGAAATCCAGACAAACCGAGGAGCCAGCCAAACTTCTTCCAAACTGGACTCGCCCTTTTAGGTAAAGAGGATCATCCGCCGTCCCAGTGTGCCCCCCGCCACACACACACACACACACACACACACCAGAGAGAGAGAGAGAGAGAGAGAGAGAGAGAGAGAGAGAGAGAGAGAGAGAGAGAAGTTCTCCGCCGGCGCAAGTTTGGCGCAAACGCCCCGCGCGTTTTGCAGTAGCAAGAGCCGGGAAACAGAGGACTTGTCGGGTTTACGGGTCGAGGGGAAAGCCCACGCGGGAGGAGAAATACCTATCATGACGGGGAGTAGCGGGAGAAAAGACGGGGTGCGAAGTTAGAGCCGTGTTTTAGGTTTCTTCAAGGACGCGTTTCGGTTGGGCGGCTCGGCAACAGCACCAAAGCTCTTTAAGAACTTTTAACTATGATCCGGTGTTTTTAGAGGACGGCTGCAAATATAATGAACGCTGAATTTGAGGCCTGGCGCAGAGCGCAGATCGTGGCCCGCTGCGTAGAGACAAGAGGAAACCAGCTACGCTTCTTGTGTATAGAGCGGGTTTCGTTAAAAAGCAACAGCCAGGTCTCGCCTTGTGCTTTTTATCGTTGCAGCGAGATCCCCGCCACACACCCCATTCTTGGTTTAAGTAAGCAAGTACTGTGCTTCCCTCCCGCCGCCCACATTGTTGGCGTCAGAAATAAATGTCCATAATGATCGCGATAATCTCGGGATCTAGGCGGCTGTTGCAATGGGCTCTTTCCCCTAACGATTTGCCTTTTGTGATTTTTTTATTTATTTTTTTGGGGGTAACTATTATCTTCTTGCTGCAGCCAGTCCCTGTTTCTGTTCTGGTTTGGTGCTTTGCGCAAAAGCCCCTCGCCTCGACCTCGCGTTTCCCTTCGCAATTCTCCTTTTCCGACCCTCAGCCCGGGGGATTCCTTCGAAACGAATCCGCTGGGAGCGGGGGTGGAGCAGGGATCGCCGTCGGTCCTGCTAAGTTGAAAAACATCTCGCTTCTACGGGACTGCAAACAGTTGAACAATGTGCGCCCTCCTCCGAGAGGTGGGGGGAGCGGTGTGGGGGTTTTTTTGGAGGGTGGGGAAGGAATCCCCCAAATAGATCTCCCTATATTCTTTACTTTGTGTAAGAACTTTCGAAACCCAAGTCTGGATTCCCGGATTCGCGGCCCCTCCAGAAAATCAATTTTCGCCTCCGGAATCCCAAACGCCTTTCTTCGCAAGGTCTCTTTCCGACGGTTCCTAGAAACGCTTATCGAAGGGCTATTAAATGCGGTTCCAGGAGACTTGGAAGGCTATAACGAGGAGCAAGGAAGTTGCTGTCCCGCCGGCACCCGTTGTTATTCTCTAATTATTTCCGAGGCAGAGCATAACTAAGACATTTGTAATTAAGACGAGCCTTCCAATTTATTTATTTTTTACAAAATCACCCCACTTGAAGTAGAAATAATAAGAGAGGGAAGGAGTTCCATTCACAGCAGAGGGGGCCCTCGGAAAACAGCGCTGGGAGACGGGCCTTGTCCTACTGAGTTAAAATAATTCACCCGTGAAGCAAAGTGGGAAAGGCCCGCGGACTGCAAATCGGACTGAAAGCCACCATATTTCAGAGACTGATAGCAGTGGCGTAGCGTGGGTTGTCAGCACCCGGGGCAAGGCAAGTAATTTGCGCCCCCTAACCCGTGGATTTGCGCCCCTAACCCGTGGATTTGCGCCCCCTAACCTGTGGATTTGCCCTAACCCCAGATGTTGCGCCCGGTGCGACCGGCCCCCCCTGCACCCCCCCACGCTACGCCACTGACTGATAAACAGGGCAGTTCTCCTGCGCAAAGCTCCGCTGACTGCTCGAGGAAGTGGTTGTAAAACGTCCCAAGGAACTGCGCTTTTCCGAGACTGGACGGCAAAATCCAAAAATCATGCGGAATCCAAGCTCCGCTGTCCCCCGACGGGCTTCGGCTACAGCGGAGAGGTCAGAATAGGGATTTTGTTTTGTTTTTTAATCATCATCGCATTGAGGGGAAGTGTAGGAAGCGGGGAAAGGACTTGCAAAAAGGACTTCGATCCTTGGCTAGGTGGAAATCTAAGCCCCGCTGGAGGCTCGACGGCACTTTGAAGCGGGCGCTCGCTCGATCCTCCCAGCAAGGGACTGACTTCGAGCGGTCAGTTTCATGAAACAACCCACCGGTAATTCTGGCCTGTATTTATACTCCTAGGCAGACGAATTGACTTAAGGTTTTAACCCAAAGAAAAGGGACTTCGCTTTTACTGCAACAGGAAAAAATTACGTTTTGGAAAATTACAGATTTTCAGCTCTTTCCTACTTTTGAAGTCCTTATTTTTTAAAAAAAATAATATTCACAGTAATTAAAAAACCGTCTTTCGAATTAGAACTGAAGTGATTTGACACATACAGCCAAACAGGGAATAAACGGATTTCCATCAAATGGCGTTTTTAAACCCTTTCTCGCAATAGTGTCATTGGAAGACACAATATAATTTACAGGAAGCACTGCTTAAAACGGGAAACGGTTAAAAAGCTGAAAATTCAAAGCGATCACCTGGGATGTCATGTAATTATTTGTGGAGGCTGCGATCCCACGCATACACGTAAGGCTCCATGAACTACATGGGACTTACTTCTGAGTAAGGCTGCTTAGGCTCATATGTATACGGATCACAAATACAGCTATAGATACAGCTATAAATAAATATAGTAGATATATGGCATGCGTCCTGAAAGACCAGGATGAGGAAGAGGAACCGACGTGAAGAAGTAGATAAGTCTTTGCTAACACTACACCGAGCCCCCTGGAGCCGTGGGGAAGGAGAGGCGGATCCGGTCCTAGCAAGAGCCCGGTCCGTCCATCCTCGCTGCCGGGCTCCGCGGGCCAAGGACTCTGGAGAGGAGCCGCTTGAACGAAAATAGTCTCCGAGCTGGGTTGCCAATTGCGGCGCCTCTTTCCCGCAGGACCCGCAGCCAGCTCTCCCCGCCAGGTCTGGTCCTGTTGCGTCCCTGAGTGAACTTCCCCGGACTTCTCCGCGCTCGGAGTCCCGAGTCTCCATCTCGGGATATGTTCGCGGTAGGAGCGCGCGAGGAGGCGCCCCTTTCCCAGATCCCTCCCAGGCCCGGCAGTGGCGAGCTGGCAAGGAGCCTGCGTCGCCCACCCAGCGCCGCTTGGCCCTTCGGGGGGCGCTCTTTCGATGCCAGGGGAGGCTTGACTTGATGCCTTTGGCTATTAATAGCCACCAGCCGGTCTATTCCTGTCCTGGAGTGGCGAAGGGGCTGCCTGGCAGCAAGAGGAAGGCAAGGCAAGGCAAGGAGTGGGGAGGCGAGTCCCTGGGGACGCCCGGGCCAGGGTTCAAGAGATACAGTTTCCCCGACGGCTATTAAAAACCACAAGCAACATTGAGGCGATTCCTGCATTTCAGGGGGTCGGACGAGACGGCCCTGTGGGTCGCTTCCAACGCTACCATTCTGCGGGGAGGCTGTGCTAAATTAACCTTTCCGAAAGATGTATCCGTCGGCTGCAGCCTGAACGGTTTCCACCAGAAACCTCCAAAAATCCGGTCATTATTCCGGGGCCCCTCCAGCAACACCTGTCGGCGGAAGGTCAAGCCTCCGCAGGCCACAACGAACGCCTGTCTCGTTGGACGGGCTCCGGCCTCGCATTTGGCCACGGCTTCCGCGTGCCAAGAGGACTCTCCAGCCGCCCCAAGGCGCGTCCGCGGACCCTTTCCTTCCTTCTTTCTCCCCCTCCCCAAATCCAACCCCGTCCAGGCCACTCACCGTTGGCGTTGAGGTCCAGGCACTGGGCGGGGTCGTCGGCGTCCGGCAGCTGCCCGTCGGGGCTGAGGCTGTCCATGGACAAATCCAGGCCTTTGTCGTCCCAGTCGCGGAGCTTCCTCTTCTTGTGCGAGCCGATGAGGGCCTCCACGGAGAAGGCGTGCGCTCGCGAGCTGAGGGCCACTGCCGAGCGCCTCCTCTCGCTCATTTTAGCCGCCCGACGGGGTGAGTGCGTGCCTGGCGAGTCCCGCGGCCCGAGGGGCAGGCACGCCGCCAGCCGCCCAAGCGCTGGCCGGAGGGAGGGCGACGCTGGCTAGCTGGCTGGTTCACGAGGCTGGGTCGCAGCAAGAGGCAAGCGGAGAGGCCGCCTCGACGTGAGAGCGCCCGGCGCCCGCCTGGACGCTACATGGATCCGCGGAGCAGCGCAGACGACCCACCGACCGCCCGGATCGCCGGCGCCGCTCAGAGTCGCGGCGCTTGCAGGCTGCGCTTCATTCTTTCCTTTCTCCCCCCCCCCTCCTTTCCCTCCCTCTGATTGATCCAAACTTCTGGGGAACTTTCTTCTCTCCCCCCCCCAACACCCCGACGACACCGCCAGGCTGTGCGCGCCTGTCAGGAGAGAGCCGCAAAGCCCCTGCCCAATGGGAAAGCGCGCAGGCCGGGGACCTCGGCGCCCCGGAGCCAATGAGGAGGGGGCGGGCCAAGCGCCCGGGCTGCTTCTTCCAGCTTGGCTCCTCCTGGGCAGCTGCGCGCGGAATTAACCCTTTGCTGGACGGGAGCCGAGCAGCACTCCCTCCCCTCCGCCAGCACGCAGCCACTCTCCCTTCTCCCCCTCCAAAAACAAGCCGAGAGGGCGCCCAGCCCCCCACCCTGCCCCAGATGCTAGCCCCCACCTATCCACCCTCATCCCTGGCATCTTGCATAAGATTCTCCCCCACCCGCTCCCCCCAAATATGCGAAGCTGCTCGGAGAAAAATCGACAACGCCGACGACGGCAGGAGGGATCGTTTTCCACTTCTGCAAACGCTACCTTTTCCTTCAAGCGAATTACGGCCGCGAGGGTTGGGGGAGCAGCAGCGAGGTTTCTAAAATGTACTAACCAATATATATACATATCTCCTTGAAAATGAAGTCCGTTGTGAGGGTTTGGCAGTTCCACGGCGATGTCCTGTTTAAGCAGCCTAATCCGGAATTCCGCCCGAGTGCAAAGTTTTGAGCGCGCGCGAATAGCTTCTTTGGGCGTTATTGGATGAGATTTAAACTGGTTTCAATCCAGGCAAACATCGATGTTGGTAGGTTGATGGGTGGACGGGAGGAGGGACTGTCCGTAAAAACCTTCGGCCTTAGAAAACTCTTTCAGGTGTGCGTCCAAAATGCATAATCACAACGACCGAATCAAAAATCAACAGAGGCACAATACATTTCTATATCACGGTATGACGGCGACGACTATTCGATGTTTCCTATCCTAAACATATTTCCTACGCCTCTTTACATCTAATAATGTATGGCATGTATTGGCCATACTAATAACCCATCCGCATAATTCTGATTATCGCTCTGCAAGACTTACAGGCCACATTCCCACGGACTCAAAGTGGTTTACTGGGGATGGGGGAAGAAAGAGCACTGTAAACGGCAACAAAAAGGTGGATGCGATAAAAGACGTGGGCAGGATCTAGCCCAAGGTAACAGCCACTTTTAAGTTGACCTCAGAATCAAGGCCGTCGTGAAGGCTGCGATTCTAAACTCTCTAACTTGGGAATGCCTCCCGACGAAATCAACGCACAGGAGCCGGCAGTAAAAATCTGTCCCGGTGAAATCAAGGCAGGCTGCGATCCTGCGCATTTCCCCTCGGAAAAAAACCCAATTGTTCCCGCAGAATTTACTTGCCAGTAAAGCATGTAGAGGCTTGGGCTGTCTGGTTTTTGGGTTTGGGCTGGAATCGGCCTCTTTATGGAGAGGATATTTTATTTTATTTTAACCAAATTTCCGCAGGGCAAAAGCGAAGCGGAGACGTCATTTTTTAAATAAAACGTCCAACTCTGTTTTATTGCTACATTTCATCCCCCCTACACGCCCTTCTGTGTTGAGACACAGAAACAGAGAAACAAACTGCCCAATAATCCCACAGCGTTTAGAGGGAGAAAGAGACGCAGGGAGCGCAGGCAGGCAGCCGCGCGCGCGAACCGTGCACCAAGCCTCTCCTGCATCCATAGCAGACAAAGGCCGAAGTTGTCATAACCGACGCTCGCAGGCTGCTGCTCTGGACGGCAGAAAGGACGCGGGGACATGCAGGCAGCCAGCTACCTAGAAAGCCACGTCGGGGCTAGCTAGGCAGCGTCTCATTGCGGTCCTTTGGCACGGCTGAGCCAGACTTTTGCTGGGGCCAAAGGCAGCCTAAGCCACAAACCTCCTTCTTCGCATGGATTTCAGGTCCTCTGAGACCCAAGAACCGACGGGGAGGGAGCTGGGAAAGCCTGGCGAAGATCAGGTAAGGTATCCCGCGGGCGGGCGGGCGCGGTGCCTCGCGGTGGCTTGGACGGGCTGCTCCGCTCGGAGTTGACAGCGACAAATAACGCGCGGGCGCGCACCAAACTCTCACTCTCGCCGTCTTTTTCTTTCGATTAGACTTTCCCCGACTATGGTGACCCACCATGCCAAGAAAGCGGGGCTTCTTCGTCAGCTTTTGCGCTCATATCCTCTCTTTCGCCAGCCTTGGAATCGCACGAAATCTGCAGGAGGCTGAATTCCGGCAAAGCAGCCGGAGGAGGGCGAAAGCTCGGGTCCTCCACGCAAAAGCAACCGTGGTGCGTCGGGGAAGGAATGGCGGGCGTCAGAGCGCGCGATTCTCTCAGTAGTTGGGCGGACTCTGCAATTCAAAGGCTCTTTCGGAGAGGAATAGATGCTTTGGGGAGGGCGGGTAGGCAAATAGGTGAGGGGCTCATTTTTGTATTAAAACAAAAACGAAGGAAAATAGGAGCTACCTGGGGAAAGGAGATGGATAATTTTTTAACGTTTTGACTAGGTTTTTTTTTTTAAGCCGCTCATTCGTATCCTAGGAGACCCTTTCTAAAACCAAAATCCTGGCTTTAAAATAGACAGAATTATCTACTCACCTTTAATCCTTGTAAAGCCGGCGGATTTTGATAGTGTTTATGTAACAGAAAGCTTTGTCAGGAAAATGTAAGCGCTCTCAGAAGAGGCAGTGACACTTTGCCAATTTTTTTTTTAAAAAGTCTTGGGTGCAAGTTCTTTCGATTTCCATGACATTTCAATGCTGCAACCCTAAGAACATTTACTCGAGAGTAAAGGCTCACTGGAGCCAATTATATTTGCGTGAGCATGCTCTGCACGCACATGGGTCCAGTCAATTCAATGGTAGTCACCTGGACTGATTTGCTAGTAAATAAACAGGGTTCGAGTGGAAGGGGGGCGCTGAGTGAGACTCCTTAATCGCCCCCCCATCCTAAGCACACTGATGTGTACGCAAGTTAAGTGGAAACCAACGGGATTGAGTTGCTATCCATTTAATGACTGGTGATAAACCCAGCACAGAAATGAAAATGAGTTTAACTAAATCTCCTTTACTCTTGCATGCTTCCTTATGGCCTGTGCGCTCCATTCGCCCACATCACGGTCCCAGAACAAGTGGCCTGCAAGGTACCTGGCCCTCGGGAATCTGTGCTACCAACGTCCAACTAAGTGCAAATAATCTGGGCGTATTTTGTTTTAATAATAATAATAATAATAATAATAATAATAATAATAATAATAATAATAATCTGCACGCAGTGTTTCGAAAAGATATGAAGATAAGCGACTATATGAGATAAGAAGATAAGCGACCTCTTTCAGTCTGATTTGGCGACGCCAAAAGCGCGCTGAATTCCTTTGGTGTTTCTTGGCAGTTTGGAAAACATATTTAAGTCGATTTTTCCTTCGGGCTCCAGAGGTGACAAATATTTACTCGACCTCCACTGCCCGCATTACTTCCGCGCGCGCTTCAGAAATTAATCCGAAATTAAGTGGTCCGACGATGCAGTCAAAATCCACCAGCCAACCGCGGAGGGAAAAGGCTGGCAAATCTGGAACGAATAGGAAAACCCGGGGGGCGAACAGCTCTTCTACTCGGAAGTAAATCCCATAGAATTAAATGGGATTTGATGGCAAGTTAACGTGCGTGAGATAGCGCCCACCCAGGCTGACAACTCACCGCCCCCTCCCCTACCGCTCTCCTAGACTTCGCTCACCTACAAGACCTGTCTCAAGGTCACGATTCCGAGCCCATCTCTGTCCTTCCTTCGGGTTTTTCTGTCTTTTGTTTAACTTTTCAGAGATCCGCCTCCACTCCGAAGCACATTTACCCGGGAGTGAGAGTAAGAGCTCCGTGGCACCTAACACGTTTGTTATGGCATAAACTAGCCTTGAGACCGCCACGAGGTTGCGCGGCATCCTACGAGCGGGGCTGCCTCCTGAAAGTCTTGGCGAGGACGGAGGTCAGTTCCAGGACATTGGGAGGACCCCAGAGGTCGTCCCTCCTCCCCACAAGTTTTAGGTGGTGGCCTATGTGTAAACACTGCCGTCGGTCATTTCGGATTAATTTCGGATTAATTAGCTGTTTACTGACAATCGCTCTCATCTCCCCACCTGAATCCTTTGCTGTCTGGGATTTTCTATTTCTTCTTGCTTGCAAAAGGAGAAACATCTATCACAGAGCTCCTCACTCACTCCACACACACCCCGGACCCATTAGATGAGCGATTATATCTGATGAGAGCCTTTATCTCCCTCTTCACGTTCTCCGGAGTGATAATGCCTTTAGATTTTGAAACCTGGAAGCCCTAGTCCAGAGTTGCAGTCTTGCTCACCCTTAGGCCCGTTTCGCCCTGAGATAGTAAGCCTGGGTCTGGACTGTGTACCAGCTCAGAGACCCCAGGAATGGATTCATTTGCCTGTGTGCTTCTCCCGAGTCCCACAAAAAAACAAAGCAGGAAAAAACGCTGCACGCACTTGGCATGCTGTGGGCACATAGCATTTTTATTTTATTTGGTGCGAAGGATAATTCCATCAGACTGGCCTCCACCTGCGATCTGAGGTGCCGCAGCGCAGATCCATGTTTCCCATCTCAACCTTGTGCCTAGCAGGGCTTACTTCAGAGTAGGACCCTGCAGGGGCTGCCCCCGGGAAAGCTGCGTCCTCCACCTAACCAAGCTGAAGCAGCGAAGCGCACCATTCAATAAATGTACTTCAAAAACCACGGATGGGAGAAGAGGGTTTTGCGCTAAAGCCGGTTAAAACGCTTATAAGTAGTAGCACCCGTCAACTACCCCATCCCACAAAGGGGGAGGGTTAGTTCGCCCATCCCGGAGAAGGGGGGACTTGTTCCCCCCCCCCCCCGCTTTGTACCAGGCTCGGCTAAGTAAGGGGACCTTGCGCAATAGCTGCAGAGCGCTCAGCCGGGCCGGCCGGCGGGGTGGGCTGGCGTTCTTGTGATTTA